CCAAGCTTTGGTGCGGCGGTGTTGCAGGACTTGGACCAGGGCTCGTCAGATTCTCCTTCGGAACTCCATGGCTGGTCTGTTCTTGCCAGTGTCTCATATGTGTTTGTGTCCGTGAGTAGTGTATTGACCTTGTCCTGGAAGTCCGCTGTGGTTAGGGCCACCGTACCTTTGTCGGCAGGTAGGATAGTGATGTTTTGATCCTTGCTCAGTGATGTCACAGCCTTCCTTTCTTGGAATTGGAAAGGGCTGCTAATACCTTCAGCCTGAGCTCTTCTGTTCCTTATGGCTGATTCTGTAGCTGTGATGAGGTCCACCATAGGTAGCTGCTGTGGTGTGATGGCGAAGTTTAATCTTTTGGACAGAACGTCTTGCTCTGGTTGGGTGAGTTTCCTATCTGACATGTTTTTCACCCATCTGTTATCTATTTCATATGTTGTAGAGTTATTTTCCTTTCTCCTCCAAGATTGTCCTTCTGTTTTCTTGGTCTTGCCTGTAGGTTTTGGAATTTCCTTGTGTCTTTCCTTGCTCTTGGTGTGTTGATATAGCTGTGCTTTCTTGATGAAATCAGTGACCTTTCCAATATTGTACTAGGCAGATGTATTTCCAGTTTGTGGTGCAAGCTGTCCGATTCTTTGTTCAGGGTGAAGTGGATGTGCCTCACTCTCTAATTCAGTAGCTGGTGTTGTGCTTTTTCCAGGGTCATTCCAGCTCTGTGTCCTTTCACTATGGAGCCTAAGTACAGACTGTTAGGTTTATGTTGTCAGCATCTCAGGTTAAACCATAGGTGGTTTCTGTCTGTCTGCAATTTTCCTGGCTATCCTTTAATACTCCTGTATCGAAATTTACAGAATTAGTGGAATAGAGCCCCTTCCTAATCTGTTGACACTTCTGAATTAGCATACTGCCTGCTTAACACCCATACAGTAGCTGTACTACCTTGCTTAGAGTGGAACTCTGAAGGCTGATTCTAACAAACACACTTCACTGACTGATGCTGCAGACTGTGCAGAATAAATCTTTGGTCATCCAGATAACTGCTTGTGTTGTCTGATCCAACAATCACCACAACACCGTCATGCTTTGCAAACACTTTATTACACAAATAACAGTTACTGAAAATAGTACTCTTGCAGCAAAACCAGTGTGTCACAATAAATATCAGATAGCCCACATGTGACTGCAACATCTGAAATGCAATTTCTATGACATGCCATAAAGTGAGTCATTCAAACTTAAAGGCAAACAGAGGATATGGACAGAAACAGAAATATGTAATTACGGTCTGAGAATGCAGGATGGAATTTTAAACTAGGGAATGAAAGACTGAGCAAGTGAAATAAAACCATAGGATACAGAATTATGGTGAATATAGGACAAAGATACTCTTTATCCCATCCTCTCCTTGGGATATTTGTACGAGGAGTGTGCAGTGAACTAGCCTTTATTGATGGACATCAATTGATACATTGTTATTCATGCTACTCCTACACTGGATTGTTGCCACCAGATTTCTGTAGGCTTAAGTGAACATGTTTCCAAACATTCAGTCAGTTTTCATTCATTCTACTCATAATTTAGTAACTGACTGATCAATGCAAATGTAATCAGTAAGTAACTTTAAGTTAAATCTCAAGCATGTATGAAGCTGTAAGTACAGAAGGTGTGAATTGAGGAATGTTTATTACATTTCTTGAATTTCAAGAATTCTTGGAAATTATTGAAATTTTATGTTGCCTTAATGTTGCTGATCAAGATGAATCTGAATCGTGGTAAGAAGAAAACAATAGCACTGTGTCTAATTCAATAACATTTCTCAATTCCCACTGCTTGTTTATACTTTCTTAAGTTGGGGAGCTTGATGTAATAATAGTTACAGTTGCTTGAGACTTTGCTGTTGAGCAATGTTTGACTGACACTGTGTATATATACACGCACGCACGCGCACACACACACGCACAGAGAACATAAATATACATATATAATATCCATTTTCTGTTCACTTGAATGGAAGAGAAATCATTATGGTACAAGCTCTACTAGCAGCAGCTGTTTTCATCCCTTGGTACATTTTTGTAATGGCAGGTGCTAAAAAAAGGCAAAACACAGATGTAAAAAGGCACAACAGTGACATGTTACTGAACTGAACCATGGATCAAACAATTCAAAATAATAAAGGTAAGTATGTAGCTTTGCTACATGGAAGAAATGTATGCAAGGAAGGATGGACTTTTCCAGGAACACTGAATTTGTATACTTTATAAGTGCTGTTAAACTATTCAGTTTTTTGAATCACAATAAAATAGCAAAACTTCAGTAACTAATACCGCACTTAATTTATTCTTACTCAGATATTAAAATGCCATAAAGTAGCATTTAAGTCCAGTTCTGATTCAACAGAATTAAAACACTGAACAGCAAAATAAACAGCCAACATAATCAGTTTTTAGTTTTTTCTTAGGGCCCTATTTTTTTCGGCGCAAGCACACAGACCAGCAGTGGAAGGTGCAGAGCAGCACAATGTGAACACAACATAAATATCTGCAACTAAGGCCCGTAGGTATGGCTTTTTACAGATAATTACTACAATAACAATAGAAATAAATAAGAAATAAATAGTTTGGTGAAGCCAATTACATGATCACACCAATCTGACGCTATTTCAGTTATTCTTATTACTATATCCCAGCATGCATATGGTCATATCGTGTCAAATGCCACTTTTGCTGAAAACTTGAAAAGGACTTGATGCACTTGACTCATGAGTCCTGGTAATCCTGCGTTTCCCTCATTAACAGTGAGAATACAACAGAAAATTCAGCCAAATATAACCGAGCAGTCTGATGTATGTGGAAGTGTGTGGGGTTCATTTGTAAAAGCCTTTATTCAAGGTAAACACAGTGAATGGCAAAGCATGGTAGCACTATGGTACGGTATGATGAGAGGCTTATCACGTGTCCTGCTGCCTTCAGTGGCCTGTACTATGAAGCAAGCTTAACATACCAAATCACCGTGATCAGGCTGAGCTGTCTCATGACGGTGGTTATCAACTCGCAAGCAGAGGAGTTCTGACTATAATTACATTTGTGTGTTCCATTAAATTACTGTTGCTTAGTCTGTGTAATATAAGAAACAATGCAACCTAAAGTTATATTAAACTAATTCATATTAACTTAAAGCTTCAGTGTATAAGTTTCAGAGGGATCCAGTGGTGAGAGCTGCAAATAGCAACCAGTGGCTCATGCACCATGAGTGCTCCTAAGATGGTCCAACTTGTGAAGTAGCTCTTCCGAATTCAGAGTGTGTTCATGTGCTCTTAAGTCAGAATGTGGAATCAACATGGACGCTGCTACAAAGATGTGTTGAATTAACATTATCAGAGCATATAAACAACACGCAGTTCCCTCTACATGGACAGCAAACTAACTGTTAGAACCATAGTACAAGTTACGTGTTTGCAAAATATGTATATGCAATAGATTTCTGTGTACTTCTTTATGTCCCATTTACACTTTTTCTGTTTTTGCAATAAAGATTTAAGGAGGAAAAAAATATTTTGATTATTTTGATCCCACATGAATGCACCATCAGTCACCGTTAAGCCCTTCTTTTTCCAAACACAAAGGAGGAGAAGCTACAGTGGCCAACACGCGCTGTCGCCTCTTGTGCTAAATTACATGTGGGCCTCCCGCTGTCCAAATTTCACTTATCTTCTTGCTTATATTGAACCAGACGACCTCTGCTACTACTAGTAACGTTACTTCTTCTTCTTTGTATGTATTCAACGTAGTGACAAAACATGCTCTGTAGAGACTTTTGTTTGTTTGGGCTACTGTAGAAACATGGCAACCTCCATGTAAGAGGACCCGCGGTGTCTGTCTCATTCTAAGTTAATAAAAACGGTTCATTGTGTAAGGTCTTTATACACCACTGAAAACATAGTTATGGATCTTATATTGCATTTCTGTCACTAGATCCTCATAAATATTGCACACTGAACCTTTAAATTGAATACCAAAATATCTGCTCATTATATTTAGCCTCACATAAAAAGAAAGATGAAACCATTTCTGTTAACAGCTGCAACAGGATGTGTAAAAATAAATATAATAATATAAATAATTAAAAGTTTTAAGTAGGCATACGGTCATATATTAAAGTACAACCATTATAAGGTTTTGGTGCTTCAGTCTGTCTCTGTAGGATGCGCACACACAGTAAACATAAAGAATCAAACTGTGGGATCTTCTACGGACGGTAGAGAACTGATTATAGCGTTGATCTCTCATCTCATGCTCCGGAGCAGGTTAGCCGTTCAGTACATGTTACCATGGTATGTAAGAAATTAACCACTGTCGTAGAATTGAAAACCCAGAAATAACCCTGAAGTCAAATCCTGCTTAGTAGTACAGAGATGGATGTTTTCATACAGTATAAAGCAGCTGTGCATAACAGACAGTGTAAGAATAACCTATTAATTTAAATGACTTCCATCAAATTACGTTCAGGTGTTTTAACCACATGGGTATTTTTATGCCAATGTAAATACATCTACTTTGTCAGAGAATGTTTAATTACAACATTCACTCCAAGATTTTAGTTTGCTCCTGTTGACAGAATCAATAAATTGGCAGTAGATTGACTTTGCTTCAGAAGTGGTGATGGCGCAGTGGATAAGACACATGCCTTTGGTGTGAGAGACCCAGCTAAATGAATAAATGTAAATGGTGAGATGAGATGTCTGTTCTCAATGTCTGAGACCCAACTTCTCTCAAAATACCAGGGACTCTCTCTGCGTTCCACCTGTTTGCACCTCTCCTCCAAAGCAAATGTTATGGTCAGGAAAATCCCCATCAAAGCACTGCAGGTGCTGGTCATAGTGCCGCCATGAAAATAGAGCCCTTAAGGTTTTAAACAGGTCACTTTGAGTACAAATTAACAGCATCAACTGACTAATATTTGACCACATTCCAGTCATAGAAATTTCCCATGCAAAAAAGCCATTCAGTGAAGTTTGGTTTATTTTCTTATCAGTTATCAGCAATGGGCTTAAATTAGTTTTACCTGTTTCATATACAAAACAACTTATTTCAAGATTTTCATAGAATTTTGTTCTACAATACTCCCTAAAACAAGATAAACTGCACAAAGAAAAGGAAGAATTATCTCAGCCCATTGGCAGATTTGTTCTTGATTAATTTAACACCATATATCGCAAACATTTCTTTAGGGATTGTGCTAATAATTTCATGAAAGTTTGATGTGGGAAAAACAAATAGTGATGTGTGAATTGTGTCACCAAGGCTGTATCAATACCACGGGTAAATTAAATAAACTGTCTAAATTATGCCCATTTTTCATATAGTATATTTCTAAATATATAAAAGAATAAAATTGGCAGCTAACACAATAGTTACATACGATGAATAACAGACATCTTGGAAATGTAAGCAGAAGGTTGGTGGCTGGCCGCAGAGCATCTAAGAAGAGGATTGAGGAGGCGGCAGAGCAGAGTACTCCTCATTCTCTGAATCGCTGCTGTCCTCGTCGTTCCTCTCCTGGTCGCTACCTTCAGTACTCAGCTGGTCAAAGCCCTGCCGACTGTAACCCTTGTGGGATGCAAAGAAGTTCCCCAGGTTCAGACTACCCACTGCTTTACCTAGCCGTAGGGAAAACACCAGAGAGGAGAACATATTGTGTCACAAACATAACTTTTTACATGGACAATATTTTCCTCCTTAAGGATGATTTTTGGCTCTAAAATTCAACCTTTACATTCGAATATTCATGTTCATATTCAAAGCACTCAGGATTTAGTTTTTTTTCCCCATAGGGCTGGTACAGACTGCTGCAAACACATCGCACGCAAAAAAAGACACGTCAACCAGCATGTGGCGCTATAATCAAGGTAAATACCTTTTGGTCCGTAACTACCACATAACACGTCGCACAGATTATTTTTCCAAATGAAATGATTTCCAGTCTCCACCTGTGACTTGCTTGGAGAGTCTGCAGGTCAGACTTGTATCACCTTGGTTGGATCCTTTTAATACGTGCTTGCAGGTCTAGTTTTATTTTTAATGTTATAAATGACTTACCTCTTATTTTTCCCAAGATCCCTCCCACAGAGCTGGGCTCAGTTTTCACCTCACATCGATCTGCAAACAAACAATATTTAGCTGAATAAAGCTGACTAAATATTAAACAATAAAGCATACAGAGCAGAGTAGTGTGTACTGTTTTTAGCATTCCAAGCCCGAGGCGGCTGGAAAACCCTGGTGAAATTGCTCAGACTTATATTAGAGGTCCAAGCAGCGAAGGTGCCTGTCCTACTGTTTTTGTTCTCATTATTCTTTCTCTCTTCTTTTTCTCCCCTAAAACTGTTTCTGCAACAAAAATTTGCAGGTGGGTAGAAAATTCCACCCAAATGACACTCATTGACCTCATGATGGCGCTGTAACAATCAAGTTTACGTTGTGGCAGAATCTGATCTAAAGTGAACAAGATTTTTGTGAATTTGTTTTGAAATTATACATTTTTACTTTCTTAAAGTTAAATGCTCTTGTCAGCACCTTCACTGATATGTGTTTGTCCCACTGCAACATATGGTCAATTCAGAAGTCCTCTACTCTGTCTTTTTCAGAATATGCTAAATCAGTTAACATCTATATCTCCACAAGTCTTTGTTCATACCAAAATCCACCAAATCAACACAGACACTCTCTAGATGGCCGATGTCAAGTGTTTCAGAGATTTTTCAAATCGGTCAAATGGTGAGTCTGCAGGGATCTTCAGTATCTTGCTGTATTTTCTTTTTCGCTCAGTGTTGAATCAAACATAACCATAATAATTGACAATACACCCAAAACCAGCAGAATGAGGTGAGATTTGTTCAGAAAAATATCACCAACATTATGACTCTTTTAAACAACACAACAAGTTTAAAGAGGCAATATGTAGTTTTCAGTGGCAAGTGGCGGTGCGGTTTTAAGATTGCAACCAGGCGTGTGCTCGTACACGTGCTTGAACTCATGAGCGAGCATAATCCAAAACATACAGAGATCCCGCAGTAAATGCGGAAACACCGACATGCCGGCTGTGGCTTTTCTCCAGACATGTTCAGGCTCTGTTACTTCAGCATTCCTGACTCAGAGGCAGATCAACAGCAGCACCGTACCTTTCATACAGCGCAGCGAGCATATCAGCACAATCCTCCCAGAAAAAAGGCAGAGTGACAGCGGCTATAGACAGGCAGGAAGACAGCTTCACACAACATGCTGGAAACTCAGCTAAACTCCCACTGCAATGTTACAGTAAAAGTTTTATCAGCTGCAGGTCATATGATAACGTTACATTTACTGCATTTAGCCAACGTGATACATCGTTAGCTCTCCTGCTGCTTTCAGTAACTATCTTTATTAGCAACTGCTCGGCGTTAGCCGGCGAGCTAATGCGACTTTCTCTGCGTTTCTCCAGCTTTACTAATGCTCACTTTGTTCTTTCTCGACATCATCTTAACCTGTTTGGTCTGATGGGCTTCAGCACATAAATCTTTATTGTTCTTTTGTATCCTTACGTGGAGCCTGTGTTTTACTGTGAGCCGGTTGTTTTATGGTGTTAGTGGACTGCATGTCGTTAGCTGCTGTGTTGTCGCTGTAGTCTGAGAGGCTCGGGAGCGCGCACAGGGCTGAATCCGACCCGGCGACCTCACATTAAAAGCAGAATAGTGGCTGATGCAAGCAACGGAGAAAACAGGCGTGTGCTTCATTTCTAAGTGAGTTTTGAGCCCACTGACAATAAGGCAATGAAAATTTGATTTATCAATAAGTGATTTCATTGAAAAACTACATATAGCCCCTTTAAACTTAAAATATCTGAGGAAGCCTGGCACACCTGATGTCACTACCTCATCTTGTGAAAAGGTGTGTGGAAACAATTGCTCACCAGCAGCTCAATCAGTAAATCACCTACTCTTGGGATACTGAAGGTCCAAGGTTCAAATCCCCGGGTGACCATGAGCTACTTGCCAACAATGAACAAAGTTCAGGTCATAGTGAGTCAAAGTTTGTTTATTCTACTTGGATCCCGTGAATCTTTCTTCTTATTTTTCGCTGCTAAAAAGTGTTTTTGCAGCATAAACCATAACCTTAAATAATAGCAGTACTTAAAGCTGTGGAAAGAATGCCTCTCTTCCTCATTCTCCATTCTTCCTTTAGCTTTTTGGCTAACAGCTGACTTGAACAACATAAGGTCCGTTGCTGCTGACCTGCCCTGCAGTCGTGCATTCAGTAACGCAGTGTTACTTGGATTAGTAACAGTAGTATTATTACTGTTTAGGAAATAGTAATCCCTTACACTACTCCTTAGAAAAGTAATACTATTAACGTTACTGAGTAACGCGTTATTGCCCAACATAGAAACTATGTGAAGTAAAGTACCTTAATTTCAATTTAGTTTTGGTATTCCCTCTTCCGTACACTGCCCCATGGCCTTATTGTCATACATACTATTTTTCTTCCAGCAGATAAAGACTCCTATGGAGATGACCACCAGCAGAGGGATGAGCAGCAGGGTGGTGATGATGGCTGGCAATACACCCTGCTCTCTGTTTGGCTTTGCTCCACTCTTCTTCTTCTCCTCCTCCTCTTCTGCCTCTTCCTGTGGTCTCGGCTGTTTAGCCACATGTTGCTTCTCTTGGATGGCTGCTGTCTTCGACATGTTGTACTCCGGCCTCACCTTAGTAGCGACAAACGTCTCCATTTCTACATAGAGAGAAATGTTATGATTAAAAGAGTGCATTACATTAGACCTTTTTTTCCCCATACAGAATCAACCACACACCAGTGGTCTCATTTATAAAACTGTGCGTACAAACCTAACTAAAAGTGTACATGCGCTCAAAAGCCAAAAATGGCGTACGGCAAAAAATATTCAGACGTATAAAACCGTGCGTACGCACACTTGTAAGCAAGTTCCCTTTATAAATCACAATCAACTTTAAACGTGCCGCATGTGAGGGTGCTCAATGTCCGACCCTTCAAACGACCATAGTTGCCTATAAATGGTCGGTGAAGTGCCCTGTCATTAATATTAACAAGTACTGACTGCATGAAGAAAAGGTGGCAAATTCTGACAGAGAAGCTACAAAACGAGATTTAACTCAGCGTGACACTGACGTTCCTTTTGGTGAAGCTGAAGTTGTTCCTCTTGTGCACCAGAGGAAAGGGGGCACCGGAGCTCCCCTCCCTTTATAACTGATCTGCAGATAGTGACGTCACTGACCGGAGGGACACACACACGCGCGCAAGACGGGATGACCCCGGTACTAATTTGGATTCCCCCGCTTGAAAAGAGAGTAAACCAAATACATTCCACCTGTGTTTAAACATGTATTTAGGTTACACAAACAGTCCACTCACTTAACGAGGCTGAGTTAAAAGAAATAGCCTGTGACTTGTTGTAAACGACAATAAAATAGTGTTTTTACAAGCAGCGCACAGCGTTTGGCTCATATGATAACAATATATGAAACTATGCTCTCCTATTTGCTCGACTGATGCATTGAAAACAGCATCAATTTAAATATAATTTGTCCTCCTGTTCAACTTATTTCTGAGAATAAACTTATTATCCTCAGTCATGGTTCTTTTTGTGCATCGCAAATGATCTTAAATTATGTTTTTTTTATTGCAAACTTTAGGAAAAATCAATCATCCATCGTCAACCGCTTATCCTGCGTACAGGGTCGCGGAGGGCTGGAGCCAATCCCAGCTGACATGAGGCGAAAGGCGGGGTACACCCTGGACAGGTCGCTAGTCCATTGCAGGGCCACACATAGACAAACAACCACTCACGCTCACACTCACACCTAAGGGCAATTTAGGGTCACCAATCAACCTAGTCTACATGTCTTTGGACAGTGGGAGGAAGCCGGAGCACCCGTAGAGAACCCACTTTAAGCCTATACTACTCAGAGGTAATATTTCAATTTATTTTACACAATAGTAGGCCTATTCACTTCAAACAGTTTCATCCTTCTGCCATGTGAGTCGCCGTTTCTTATTTGTCCTCTATATGTGCGTACGCATGGTTCAGAGTTTACTTACACATTTTTGCACATTTTCCCATCAAGTCTGTTTTGTACATACGCACCGTTTATAAATGAGACCCCAGGTGTGTCCAAATCCAGAGAAGGACTCATTGGGAGCGGCATTTTAATCATAGTCACAACATGATTTCTTTAGTTCTTGGTAGATAAAAAGTCAAAATCAAAGCTTTTGACATCTGACTTTGATGACACTGGAGTAACAGAAATAAGCAGAGTATGTAATGTTTAGGGCTGTTTACGTCAATTTGCGTAACGTGTGTCACAATGAAGTGCTATGCCCGTTGTGTGCAGGGATTCAAGTTGTAAATGGTTACTTGTCTGTACTATAGCGCCTTTCCAGTGTTCCTACCGCTGAAACAATTTCACACTATGTCACATTCACCCATATACACTCATGGCAGGGGCTAAGCAGAAACAGAAATTAACATTCACAATTTGGAGTTCAGTATCTTGCCCATCTTGCATTTCAACATGCAGTCTGGAGTAGCTCTTCCTCCTGAGCCACAGCCGCCCCATGTGCAAAACAAACTGCAGCTAAAAAAAAAAACTCACCTACCACCATCTAAAGTCAGGGAGCCTTTTAGACAGCGACCCAACAACATAAGCACACTGTAAGAAACAGGACAGAGGCGTACCCAGATGAGATGATGAGCGTCATCTCAGGTTGACATACATCAACTCATTAGGATACAACTCTGTTCAAAGGGCTGGACAGAAAGCAATCGTTTCAGATGTTTTGAAGTGCATCACATGCTGCTAGTGTGTGTTGTCTTCAACAAATCAACAGCAGCAGCAAAAAGTTGAACCCTGGAACAGCAGCAAGAACATTTTTTATCATGATAAATATACAGTTTGAAACTGTAAACTCAACAATACTTACCTTCAAGTTCTTGAACCTCAATTCCAGCTTTCTTGACAGAGCGATGTAACTCTGGAACATAAAAATGAAAGAAAATCATGGTATTTTTAAATGCAGTGGTGGGTACAGATTAATAACACTGCAAAGTTAAATTTCATGTAAATAATTCAAAGGCAAAGCCAAAACAAAAAGCACTTGCATCAATTAAAAGATTTTTGTATTCATCAATATCTCGGAGAAGACAGTGAACAGTGAATCAGAAGTTAAGATGGATTCTGCACATGAGAACATGTAATAGTTTAGACTCGCCATAGCTTACTTTCAGTGGTGAACTTGAAGACTGATTTAGTGCCTGCATCCCCGACAAAGACGCTGCCGTCCCTGGTTTCAATTATGTCGTGAGGCATTTTAAACTCCTGCAAATGAAGAAAATACAGCTCAATGTAAAAGTCTAGGCAACAAGAGAGCACTGCTCCAGACCTTTTCCTCAGAGACTCTATTACACCCTCACTACAATTATATTCTACAATAAGTATTAATTATTATAAACCACAATTTAACTATAAATATCCAACTATGAGCAGTGCTGGAAAGACTGTTGCTAAGAGGAGAGCTATGAACGCAAAACCAACTTTTAAGAAAGAATGTAAAGCTGTTGTTTGCTCAAAGAAGACAATGGTGCTAGCAATCAGCCCGAAATAGCTAGCAGCACTACAGTTTGCACATAAAGGAAACAGGCTTAGCAGAGAAGGTTGAGACAGGCAGCCCTATGCAGTTCATAGCAGAGTTCCTACCGTAAGTTTTGCATCGGGCAAATTATAATTTTTTTTGGTTCAGTAGAGTGCAAGGCTCTCACATGGAAGGTTGTGTGTTCCACCCCCCACATCGGGAGAGTATACAGTCACCTCCACAAGTATTGGAATGGTAAGGTAAATTTTTTGTTTTTGTTGTTCACTGAAGACATTTGGGTTTAAGATCAAAAGATGACAAGAGTTCAGAATTTCAGCTTTCATTTCATGGTATTCACATCTAGATGAGTTAAACAACTCAGGACATACCACCCTTTGTTTGAACCCACCCATTTTTCAATTGAACAAAACTATTGGAACATGTGACTGACAGATGTTTCTTGTTGCCCAGGTGTTGCCTTTTAGGTTGATTGTCCAACATTAAATAGCTCTGCACGACTAGTCCAAGTTTTATTATAACCTATAAAGACTGCATTTCCTGTTAAAGAGGATAAACCAACATGAAGACCAGAGAGCTGTCTATGGGAGAAAAGCAAGCCACTGTCAAGTTTGACCAGAGCCACTGGACAAACATTGACTCAGAGAGCAGAAATATAGAGGCCACACCACAAGATGCAAACCACTCATCAGCAGGAAGAAACGGAAGGCCAGATTGAAATTTGCAAAGAAGTACAGAGATGAGCTGCAAAAGTTCTGGAACACAATCTGATGGACTGATGAGACCAAGATTAATCTCTAGCAAAGTGATGGAAAGGCCAAAGTGTGGAGAAAGAAAGGAACTGCTAATGATCCGAAGCATACAAGCTCATCTGTGAAGCATGGTGGAGTAATGTCATGGCTTGGGCGTGCATGGCTGCTTCTGGAACAGGCTCATTAATATTTATTGATGATGGAACTGATGATGGTCGCAGCAGAATGAATTCAGAAGTGGACAGAAACATTTTGTCTGCCGATTTACGGAGAAATGCATTGAAACTAATGGGGAGGAAGTTTATCATGCAGCAGGACAATGAGCCAAAGCACACTGCCAACAAAACAAAGGACTTCATCAGGGGAAAAAGTGGAAGGTTTTAGACTGGCCAAGTCAATCACCTGACCTTAACCCAGCAGAGCTGCATTTCAGCTCCTTAAGGAGACTGAAGGGAGAAACACCCCGAAACCAACAAGAACTGAAAGAAGCTGCGGTAAAAGCCTGGAATAGCATCACAAATGAAGAATGCAACAGTTTGGTGATGTCGATGGGTCGCAGGCTTCAGGCAGTTATTGCAAGCAAGGGTTTTGCCACCAAATATTAAATGTTATTTACTTTAAGATGATTTGTTCCATTACTTTTGCTCACCTAAGAATGCTGTGGTCTAATACAAATGGTGGTATGTCCTAAGTTGTTTAACACATTTAAATGTGAATACCAGGAAATAAAAGCTGAAATTCTGAACTCTTGTCTCATACTCAAACCCAAATGTCTTCAGTGAACAACAAAAATAAAAGAATATGCCTTACTGTTCAGTACTTTCTGGAGGGGACTGTATTTTCTTTCCCTCAACAAATTAATTATGAAGAGACTGTTTCACATGATCACAATAAAGATTGTGCTGCAGTGTGTGTGCTCCCACGATTGATCCACATCCATTGGACGTTTATTTTCATTTCCCCATTATCCCTTGGCAGAGGAAATTCAGAGGTGTGTCAAGCAAGCCACAGACTATTTTGAATAAATTTTTCAAAATAAAAGCTATGTTTTGTAAGCAAAACCACTAAAGAAGAAGTGAGTAACTGTTGCTGTTTGGTTTTTTTCTGCTTTGAAGTACCATAATCAGGCGAGCCAGATATTATTGCTGACAGGCCAGTTTTGCTGATGGGCCATAATCACAGAGAGAAATAACATGTTTCCTTTGTCAATGCTGTAAATTATGTAGTTGGATTGTAATTTCATGTAACGTTATTCACCAACACTGTGTTTTGGCTTTGCAACGTTTGTTAATTGAATAAAGTTTACTCTGCCTTTGCAAACTTTAGCTATTATGTGGTTTATAATAGACTGTGCTGAATAAACAGTGACAATGTTACGCACTCTTGGCTTACCATGTTATCTGTCAGAGGCCAAGATCTAGTGGAAGATACTTGATTGGTATGTTAATTCAGATACGCTAACCCTCCCAAGATGTAACAACATTTAAAAATACAGTGCAGTAAAATATTGTATTACAGGAGAATGAAACATTATGTATCACTTTATTTCTTGATGTAGCTGTAGTTTGATGAACAAGTAACACTAAAATTCGCAAAAACATATGGTTGGTTGCAATTCACAACCTCAGGTCTAGATGCCACTAAAACTTACACACTGAACATTTAAACTCGCCTGCCTACGGTCTCTTCTGTCTTTCAATGGAGCCAGGATCAGCATATATCCAGATCTCTGAGATCTGCTCAGCTAAGCACATAAGATCAAGTGTAACGGACACATGAGGGTGGACGGGGCTGTTCAGTCATCCAGGTCATAGTTATCCAACGCAGGTTGAGGTCAAGGGCAACTGGACTATACAAGAACACATTTTGTCCCTCATCCAAGAGACTTCTTCAGTTCTGACTGACTGGTAGGGAAACTCAGCTATTTAACCACTGTGGGGTCGTTAGCTAGGATCGTCGATACCGCTGGTTTGTTAGTACTCCTGGCTGTCGTCGTCGTCATGGTCGTAAGAACCACCCGAGGCCAAGTCTGAACGGCCATCGTTGGCATCGTCACCTGAGGCCAAGAGGAAATGCTTGTTCAGTTTCCTAGGAAGTGATGAAAAGACAGCATTGTAAGTGGGTGATAGGTTGTGGCGTAGACCCCCTCCCCTGTTCAACAACGGCTTCTCAATCCAGGTATAAATGGCTTCCTTGACACCTCTCTCAAACCATCCATCGTCTTTGTCTAAAATGTGCATCTGGTGATCCTCAAACGAGTGTCCTTTATCCTTCAGATGTAAGTAGACTGCAGAGTCTTGACCTGAGGAGTTGGCCCTTCAGTATTGAGCCATGCGTTTGTGTAGTGGTTGTTTAGTTTCCCCTTCGTTGGATAACTATGACCTGGATGACTGAGAACCTTCACAGACATCTTGCTAATCATTTTGGGATGAACACCCTCAGATTGGTACGGGAGTATGAAAGAATAGCCAGGAAAATTGTAGAACAGAAACCACCTAAGATTTAACCTGAGATGCCGACAACACAAAATCATACCCAACAGCCTATACTTATGGTGCTTTCAGACCAAAAGCGAAGCCAGCGTTCGGGGCGGTGAGTTTACATACAAGGTCAACGCAAAGACGCGCAGAGCCGCGATTTTCTGTCGGGCCGCGCAAAGTGACGCGATGGGGGCGGGGCTGCGTGAGCTGAATATTTTCAATACAAGAAGTCGCATAGCGCTGAGTTGCGATAGCCTAACAGTGTTGAGATTGTCCGTACGTCACAGAGGCTTCAGAGCGTTGTGTGGAGAGGGCTAGGCAGAGCGGGGGATTGAAAATATGCTGGCCGGCTGAGAGCTGCTAAACTTGGGGGACAGGAGCAGGGAGCAGAGCTGCAACCTTTGGACAAATAAACCCGTAGTTGGTCGGATTCTGCTCTGACAACTACACCGTTTACTCGCGGGAGGAGTTAACTGCTTTTAATAAATTATATTTTTACATTAGTTGGGATTAGAATGTTGATTTATCTTCACTGGAGCTTCTCAGCAGCTAGCTTCTGTGCACATCCGGTTCCAGTGTTGATGTTAGCGTCTTAAGCTCTGTCGGACTACACTACTACTACTAAAATCGCCTTCTCGCGTTGTCTGAACACTTCCAGCCAATGTACTCGTGCGAGGAAAGTGTTGCGAGGTGAAAATTCGCGGTTGGTCTGAATGCCGCATTACGCTCCACGGTAAAAGGACACCGGTATAATCTTAGAGAAAGCACAACACCAGCTACTGAATGAGAGCGTGAGACAGATCCATTTCACCATTGAAGCCTTGAATAAAGAATCAGACAACACCAAAGACTGGAAACACATCTGCCCAGTACAGTACTGGAAAAGGTCATGGATTTCATCAAGACAGCACAGCTCTCTCAACACAACAAGAGCAAAGAAAGAGAGACCCAGAAATTCTAAAACCTACAGGCAAGAGTCAGCAATGCAAACAAAACAGGAGAACTGTCTTGGAGGAGTAAGGATGACAACCATCACACCTACATCACAGCTACAGAATGGGCCATTTGGGAAAACAAAACAAATTTAACTGAAACAGAAGCAGCACAGCTCAGGCTAAAAGGTATTGGCAGCCCTTTGTATTGCGAAGGCACTCCCTTCCAACCTCACCATCCAAGAAAGGAGAGCTGTGACATCACTAAGCCAGGATCAAAACCATCTTTTACCTGCGGACAAAGGAAGATGCATGGTAGTCCTTAACACAGTGGACTACCAGAACAAAGTCAACACACTACTAATGGACAGTAACATATGAGACACTGAAGCGGAACCAAACCAGCGGATACAAGAAAAAGGCCATAGAATGTCTACAACAGCTACATAAAGACAACACCTTCAACCGTGAACAATATTACCGTTTGTATCCTGGAGAAGCCATTCCATGCATATATGGACTACCCAAGATACACAAAGAAGGAGCCCCACTCAGGCTGAATATC